TCGGTTTTCTCTGGCAGAAGGTTGCAGAAAACTGTTGCAGGCGAAAATGGAGCTTGGGAGTCGGTTTTCTCTGGCAGAAGGTTGCAGAAAACTGTTGCAGGCGAAAATGGAGCTTGGGAGTCGGTTTTCTCTGGCAGAGCACTCGGGCTACCACAGGTGCCCCTGAAACAAGTGACATTGAGTGGCCAACTCTGGCCCCCAGAGGTCAAACACAACCCTGATGTAGCCCTCAATGAAACTGAGTTTGACACCCTCGATGTAGGGTATTCAGATTCTTCAGTTCCACATGAACTGTGGAAGTTGCCTATGCGGAAACAAAACATAGGTCCTTTGTTCCTCTATGGAAAGCTAGCAGAGCATGAAAGCAGACAGAAAAAAAAGCCAGTCTGTATAATTTCTCTAACTTTTATGTATCTGGTTTTTGTACTGTAGTGTTCTGAAGAATCAACGTTGGCCTTTTGCCACGGGTAGAAAGTGAACAAAAAAAGTACAAAGACTCAAGTCTCCAATTTTCCAACAGTCTGACCTCCAAGTACCTCACACAAAGAAGGGCACTTAGGGGCAGAACTCCTCTAAGATGCTAAGTTTGGATTTGCACTCAATGTGTTCTCATGTCTGCAATGGGGAATACGTGAACCTCCAGATATTGTTAAACTGTAATTCCTATCAATCTTGTCCATTGGGATCAGTGATCCCTGATAAGATCAGCTTTAATAAAATACTGTATATCTGATAGGCTAGATCAGGAGTGTCAAACTCAAGGTCCGCAGGCCAGATCCGGACCACAGGGTGCTCTGGCCCGCGGGGCTGCCCTGGAAACAGCAAAGGACTGTCCCTTGGTGCCTCTGCCAGAGAAAATGGAGCTAGCGAAGGCCTCCTGCAAGCCTCCCAGGCTCCATTTTCAGCTACAACAGCCTTTTGCAGCCCTCCCAGGCTCCGTTTTCAGCTGCAATGGCCTCCTGCAGCTTTCTGCCAGCGAAAACAGAGCTCCGTTTTTACTGGCAGAGCGCTCGGGCCACCACAGGCACTCCTGACACAAATGACACCGAGCTGGCCACGCCTACCCTGGCCACACCCTCCCAGTCCCCCCGAGGGCAAACACAGCCCTCATATGGCCTTCAATGAAATTGAGTTTGACACCCCCACCCCCGGGCTAGAGGCTCAGATATAAATGAAAGACTGATCAATTCAAGGCAGCTTCTTTCCCATAAGTATGATGGATAGGTTGCTAGGATGCTAATGTTCAAATAGGGAGGCTGGCCTCTTGCCTCATAACAATTTTCCTGTGGTTTGGTTTGGGCTAAACCCATCTTAATATCGGACGTTTTTTTGTTCATGGAATTTTGTGACCTAAGGAACTGAAATAAAAATAACCCAGACCACTTAATATCTAATTAACAGGCATCTCTTTACCACTTAGACAAAACAGATTTAATCTGTTTGCTGTCTAGTATAGTCTAACCCATTTCAGTCCATGTCTCTTCTTCCCTGGTATTTTGACATTTTGTCCCTATGTACTTCAAGCCAAATTTTCTCCCTTCATCTCCTTTTGCATAGGCAGGGGAGGCATGATGGAATGCAGCTACTACAAAAGGTTGCCCCCCCCAATCTGTATATATTCGGTTAGTCCTAATTAAAATACTGCCTGATCATTTATTTATTCTCCATATGGATCATCCTAGTTCGCCGAGATTTATTTATATTCTGGTATCATGAAGTTTATATTCCCTCAGGATACGATTTGTTCCAAAGAATCCGCAAATCATTTCCATATCCGAAATAATATTTGACCAGGCTTGCAATAATTCACGAGATAAATCTGGAAATGCTGAAAAACGAAAATTCTTTGGCTAACTCTTGTCTGACTTGCAATATTCTCAGATGTATATTCTTTTTATGAATGTGCCCTTTCTGTTGTGGGGCCAGAGTGGAGAACCAAAACCAGAAGTGGGACAGGGCAGGAAATACCTTGAGCAATATACTGTAAGTTCTTAGGAAAGTCATTTCTTTGAAAGAAGAAAGCTAATGCAATGGCAGAACGTCATATTGTGGAAATCATTGTCTGATAGCAAGCCCAATTTCTAAATCTTAGCCCTCTTTACAACTCAGTTTTAAAACCCTCATCCTAAATCCTGCTCTCTCTTTATAACTTGTACTGTAAGCCTGTGGTATAGATTGCAGGTGTCAAGAAAGGAAGCAAAGAAAAATACAAAAAGAAAAGGGGAGATTTACCGGAAGGCCAGGTCTTCCTGTGGGACCCTGAAAAAAAAACACAGACACAGAACAAAGGAGGTGATGGCACGAAGAACAATGGATCCGACTAGTGAAACAATTTCTGAGTTTGATTTTGGACTTCAAGAATGCCACAATGGTATTTGTTCATTGTTCATTGGCATTTCTAGTTGAGCATATAGAGCAGGGATCGGCAACCTTAAACACTCAAAGAGCCATAAAGGTCCCAACCAATTTCAATTCTGGAGCCAACCAGAAGTCCAGTTCCCCCATGGTAGAGTCTCCTCCTACTGCGGCGTCCTTTTTCTTCTGCCGACTGGAAGTCTGGTTCTCCCACCATAGAGTCTCCTCCTAGCACAGCATCCTTTTTCCTCTGCTGACCGGACGTCCGGTTTCCCCACCATAGTCTCCTCCTAGCATGGTATCCTTTTTCTTCTACCTGTCCTAACCAAAGCCCTAACAATTGTGGAGCTGACCGGCTCTAGAGTCACAGGTTGTTGACTCCTGATTTAGAGGAAGTAAAGTTGCCAGGTTGACTCAGCCAAACTATTCCCAGTTAAAGTAGAAAATGCTAAGCTAGTTTGATGGCTAATCTAATTCTGTACAGACAGTTTGATATATCCTGATGTTCATACTTGGGTTTAGAGAGGACAAGTGGTGGAACAAATATTTTGCTATGGCCAAAAGCCCACAACATGAAATAACCTGCACCAATAAAACATCCAGACTTCCAGTAGTCTCCCTTCCCACAAACCAGTATGTTATAATTCATTTTTATCCTAGGAGTGATTCACATTTGCATCAAGTCATCATACTGTTTAGGAAATACTACACTTCATTTAATATTTTCCCAGATAACCTGCAGCTACCATCTACTAAATTATAGAGGGCAATAGAAGTCTTTATTTTATTTTATTTGAAAGCTATGTGTAAAAGCCAAAGGCTTGGATGAAATGTTACTCCTAGAATCCAGCTGGACTAAGACAAATCCATGATTTAAAACTTGTGAATAAGTTTATTAACCAAGAAGTCACCTGATATATAGTCCAACATCCTAGCTTTCACTAAGTCTCTCTTCAATAGATACATCAATGTTTCCCTTTGTTCTTTTTCCATCCTATCTCACTGCTGCTATTTTTTTCTTAGTTTAATGTCCTGTCAGTCTCCAACTGCCATTCATCCTAGATCTCCATCATGCTTACTATGCTGTCATTCTTTCTCCAGTCTTTCTTTTGTTTTGAGAAGCTCATTCTCTGCTACAGAATGTCAGCCCCACTAAGTGAACCAGGCCAAGAAGTCAATCCCACTGGAAGGCTAAAGTTATTTTAATTGACTCTTGCAAGTCTGATTGTGTTGTACCTCCCTTTGTTTCTATTGTTTCTCTATTCCATGAAATAGGAAGGTCCCTGTCTAATCTACTTTCAAACTACTGTATTTTTTGGAGTATAAGACACACTGGAACTGACAGCGACCCAGGCCTGCCACACCCCTGAACTGGTTCTCTGGGTGGCGCCGTAGGTGCCACCATCTTGTTTTTTGCTTCTGCACATGTGCAGAACAGTTTGAATTGTACTGCACATGCAATGTGCATCAAGCACACTTGAGTGCACATGAGCGAACTGGCAGTAGTGCCTGCTGGATCCCACCCCTGGAGCACATGACCTTTTGCACTAAATTGTCATAAATATATGCCAGTGTCATGCTTCCAAGTAACTCACCCAACAGAATCAAAACTCCAAGGCAGGCATATTCTTTCAAAGTATAGATTTATTAAGCATGTCATCTTGGCACAGCTGATGAAAACCAGAATCTGAAGTCCCCCAGTTTTTCCCCACCCAGTTCAAAATCCAAAGTTCTTCCCCACATTACTGTTCTGACCTAGGCTTCACCAAATCACGAGGCAGACAAAACCCCTTTTTATTAAGCTAATGTGAATTCCTCTCATTCACATCCAGCAAAGTCCCAGCAAACAGTCTGTCAAGGGTGAATTTTACAACCACAGACCTTATCAGGCTTGGAGAGCTGCCAGGCCGATATCTTCCAAACGCAATGCTGTGCAAGAAAATACTTGGCAAGGAGTCTCTGAGAGTCGTGAACAAATCTTCACACTAATTAAGCGGACTAATTGTCTCCTGCAAACTCACCTCCCCTTTCACTCCTCCCCAATGGAAGGGGCCATTCACTGTCCATCTGTGCCTTTACTCCTGAGTCAGCCCTTGTTCCTTAACTGTTCCTTTCTCCTGTCAGCTCTGTGCATGCGCACATCGGGAACAGGCTCCAGCTGTTCTTCTGCCTCACTGATGTCCAACTCCGAAGGCAGCTGATAACTGTCGGATGGCCCTGACCCCATCTCTGCCTCTGATGCAGAACACTCCCAGACTCCAGGACTGGCCCATGTTCCTCCCCAACCTCCTCACTGTCTGACTCTGCCGCCAGCTCCACTGACCGCTGGCAGGCCACAACAATTCCATACAACCATCACATGCCCCAATCAGGCCTCTCTCCCCATCCAGAATGCCTCCCATCTACGCCCCACCAGGTGCTGGTGAATGTGTCCTCGGTTCCCAGGAGAAATAATGTTATTTTGGCTATGTATTCTCCTCAGCTATCTCTACTCCCCTCTCCCTTTCACACCGCTCCAGTGAGCCTCGCTGTGGTAACTCTGAAGATGCTCGAAGATGGCTGCAGGGTTGACAGCCAGTTGCTAAGTAATTTTGATTACCTGCCCATGGAGATGCTGCTATGGTCATAAGTGTGAAAAATGGTCAAGTCTGTTTTGTAGCTTTGAACAGTCATTAAATGAATGGTTGTAAGTCGAGGACTACCCGTATGCATGTTGTCAACATCTCCTGCCAGGCATACATTTAGCACTGGCATTAAGGAGCCATACAAGTGGCTGTATGAGTAACCACGTTTAACAATGTTAACAACAGAATGCCGTCTTTTGGGAGGGTAAGACACACCTTTTCCCCCCCTAAAAGAGGGTGAAAATTTGGGTGTGTCTTATACAACGAATGTAGCCCCGCCCACCTCATGGCCTCTGCCTGCCAGCAATTTATCTCCTTGCAGCAAACAGAGAAAATGGGGCTTGCAGAGGCAGCAATAGGTTATGGCAATCCCTGCAGCCTGAAACAGCTCATCATCTGGAGGTCAGTGCTTAAACTGAAAGTGAAACTTGCTGTTTGCTGCAAGGAGGCAAATTGCTGGGAGGCAGAGGCAGTTTTTTCCCCTTCTAATCAGGCTAAACAGAAACAGGCTGTTTGCTGTTTGCTGCAAGGAGGTAAGTCAATAACTATAAATACCTATAGAATGTTCAAATTATTAGATTTATTTTTTAAAGACTGCTTTATTATTGTTCTGGACAACAAAATTTAAAAAGAAGCTTTTTAAAATAAATGCTTGATCTGAAGAGTCCCAGTGCTATTGTATCTTCTTTTTAATAGCAGAGAATAACATATACTTCCAGAAAGCCACCTCAATTTTAACAGCATTTGTACAAGTATAGTCTGAAATGTAACGCCACAAACAGTGTATATCATCTGTACTGTTTGCTGTTTGGGGCAAGGAGACAAATTGCTGGGAGGCAGAGGCAGTCCCCCCCCCCCTGTTTTCCTCCCCAAAAGTTAGGCATGTCTTATATTTAGGAGCATCTTATACTCTGAAAAATATGGTACCTATATGCAGCCAAAGTCACCACAGCATTTTGGAAAAAACTTGCAATGCTCCACATCTTCTGGTTCCTTTGCTTTTGATAGTGTACCATTCTTCCCTTTTGCCACTTTTGTGTAGAAATATAATCACATGTCATCCTCCCCCCCTTTTTTAATCATTAAGCATGACTTAATAGTGAATGGCCACTGAGGTGAAGAACTTTA